AAGCTGATCCTGTGCAGAGACATCGGATCTAGTTTATATTCATCTATATCAGATATCAAGAGGAGATACACTAAGAAAGAAAGACATACACTAAGTATGTTACACACACCTGGCTGCTGTTATATGAGATCTGTGTGTGTGTGTGTGTGTGTGTGTGTGTGTGTGTGTGTGAGAGAGAGAGAGAGAGAGAGAGATACATGGTTGGTGACGGGGATAATGTGCATGGAGAAGAAACTGATAGCTATTAAAACTGCATATGAATGGGAGTTCCCTTCTGGAATAGCTGTGTAAGTTCCTAACAGAATAATCCTAGAATATCCTCTTGCAGATAACTAAAATTCCAGGACAAGATTTTTATAATATCTAACTGTAGTTTCAGGAGAGTAAAAAAAGCAGGCAGATTCTGGAGAGATAAGCCTTGTTAATACACAGTAAAGTGTGTTGTTTCTGTTTTTAATTTGTTTGCTCATTTCTCTTTTAACATGAGAGCAGCCCACAGTCCTTGTCCTGCAAGGCAGCTGGAACTCTTATAGAAAACATGCTGTGTTGCAGCCCTGAAAAATCAGAAGATGGAGTTTAGGGCAACCACAGCCACAAATAGCACTGGAATAACTGGATATCCATATGGAATGTCAGACATGCAGATCTCCGAAGTGTCTTTAGGCTTTAGAGTCTCTTTAAGCTACAATTTATTTACATTTCATTTTTTAAAAAAATCTTGATAGGGCCGAGCCCGTGGTGCACTCGGGAGAGTGCGGCGCTGGGAGCGCAGCAGCACTCCCGCCGCGGGTTCGGATCCTATATAGGGATGACCGGTGTGCTCACAGTGCTCACTGGCTAAGCATGGTGCAGCCGGTCTCAAAAAGGACAAAAAAAAAAATCTTGATAAAATAACCAACACCTATCTTCTCTTTCTTAGGTCTCAAAATACCCTGGAAAAATGTCTCTGATAAAACTGGTATAAACTCACTGCACAAGGGTTTACAATGCTACACTATAAATTTCAACACTATGACACGAGCTATAAAGAGTTGACAATTTTTGTGGAAAGTGTGCTGGCTATTGTTTGGAATGACATTAGAAAAACATCACATGGCATCAAATGAGTTGGTCATACAGTCACAACAGCCAAGGGACTCATGGATGCCTTACAGGACTGCATCTACTTCGATCCTACCACAACTTTTCAGAAGATCTACTAACTTATACGAGACAGTAAATTGTTGTTTAGAATCTGAGGTAGGCAGAATAATAGCTCCCACGGATGTCCATTTCCTGATCCACAGAACCTCTGCCTCATGTGGCAGCTTACCATAGCAAAGGAACACTGCAGATGTGATTAAGGTTACAGACACCGAGATGAGAAAATTGTCCCCTGTGATCTGGGTGGACCCAGTTTAATCTCATGAGTCCTTAAAATTAGAGAACTTTTCTTACATGTAGTCAGAGAGGGACATGACAACAACAGTCAGAGAGGTACAACGTTGCTGGCTGAAGATGGAGGAAGGGAGTCAAGAGCCGAGGAGTTCTGGCCAGAAGATGGAAAGGTAAGGATGGAAACAAGTTCTCCTATAGAGCCTTCAGGAAAGAATACATCTCTGCCAACAGCCTTGGTTTCAGTCAGACTTCTAACTTACAGAGCTGCAAGATAATAAACCTGTGTTGTTTAACCTACTAAGTTTGTGGTAATTTGTTACAGCAGCAATAGGAAACTAATACAGAACCCAATATAATATTTGAGGGCTGTACATGAACAAAGGAACTAAGGGATCTCCTCTGAAGTTTTCCTCTGGGACAAGGCAGGAATTTAGATAGCTATATTTAGGAGGGGATTTGTTATAAGTTTTGTTTTTTCAGATGACTGAGGAGTGATTGAAACCTCCCAAGGTCCACCTCGTTGTGAAGATTATCTTAGGCAGAGGCCTCCAGAACAAAGTGCTCTTACCTTAGAGAGGTGAAGGAAGTACGGAAGGACAACGTGATAATGCATTCTTCAGTGACATCTGTGCATGATCTCTAAACAGCATTAGTGTATGTACACATGTTGCTTGTTCATGTTCATTTTTTTCCAAACTGATGGAGTGCTCAATTTAAAAACATGTTTGGAAGTTCTAGGTCATCATTAACAAAACTCCATTATCAAAAATGTGGAAACAAATAATTCATGTTTACTGTTCTAGGAAAATTAGAGAAAGCCAGAGACCATTGACAGGAGGAAAAGTTAAAATCGATTAGGTGATTACAGAAATAAGAAATTAAGCATGGTTTTATACGTTTGCTCTGGGCTTTCACCTTCACCAAATTTTGCAAAAACGGAGTTTTTGTTCTTATTTACCTGATTCTTTCACAAACGTTAAAATTCCCAAAGAAAGTATTTAATCTCTCACTATCTTACATAAAATAGTGCTCAGCTAAAACAATGATGAAGAATCTCTCCTGGTTGCTAATTATTTTTAAAAGGAAGAAGATTGATCGTACCTATTACACACTTTCTACTATTACGATCCTAAAAGGCTTTATCACCTGTTATTAGTTTATTATTGTATTAATTTAGAAATTACTATATATACTTTTCTTTCCCTTAAAAACCTCCGACATCTCTGAAGCTCATTTTATTAGTTAT